CTCACCCCAGCTCCGACCAGCGTCGTCCCAGCAGCAACCCTTAGCTGTTCCGTAGGATGCCCACCCCTAAGCATCCCCAGATCCCTCTACCAGGCCTCATGCTCCTGCATCACAGGTCACAGGGTAACACCCCAGCTCCGGCCAGCGTCGTTCTGGCATCGAGCAGCCACAGGTCCCTGAGTATAACAGCATCAAAAACCACCTGAGAAAAGTTGCGAGGGATCCCGAGAGCCCAAAAGCATTCTTAAGACCCCCGAACAGCCATCTGTAAAAAGAAAAAAAGAAGGGGGGGGAGATCAAAACTAAATACCAACCATCCTAAAGTCCCCCCCTCAACAAAGGAGCCGTCGGTCTCGACTTTCGGTCCTCGAACCAGAGCACACTTGGTCTCATACCCCCTTCTGCATGGGTAACAGGGCMCCGCAACCTTCCCCAGTACCGACCAACCTAGTTCTGTCGGATAGGAAGTGCCTTCCTCCCTCGGCAATTCCCATAGCGACAAACCCCTACACAAGTTACAGGGTCAGAACCCCGGCGCCGCTTGCGTTGGACGATCTGGTTATGCCTTCCACCCTCGGCATAATTCCATGGGCCTCAAGCTCCCCCCTGGGTCACAGAGCCAAGCTCCAGCACCGGCCCATGTCATCCCAGCCTCGTCCTCCTGACCTACTCACCTTCCCCGACATCCATCCTCTGATTGAAGGCCACCTTTCCTCCTCCCATCCTCCCCTTTTTAATTCCCCCCCTCCTTCCTTGATCAAAATCAAAATTATCTGAGTTTATAGAACTTCTATAGGAATTTATTTGAAGAATCTTTTCAGAATTTTCTTAGAAGCTTTTATAGGAAAATATTTCGTTTATAGTTACTTCACAATTACAAAGTTTTTTTACAGCTAAAGAATAAGCATGTTCCTGTGCCATCATAGAAACATAATCTAATTGATCAAAATATGGCAAAGCTTGTAGATAGGTATGTGGACTCACAAGCCACGTGGCACCTACATGCTAGGAACAGGTTGTAGAGGCATTGCCATTTCAGCCCTTGCCTACAGATTGGACACGACATGTCTGGGTATCGTACATGAGTGCAGTATTGACTGTCATCATACATATGAAAACAAAAACTCTCATGGGCTATCCCTTCATAATCCTCACGGCACAAGGCATGTGAACCACATGCTAGCCGAGTCTTAGGTGGGCCATCACAAAACGGCATTGAACAGGTTTCCCCAGTATTTATTCCTTCTCTATGGGAAGATGACGGGGATTGATCCAAAGGCAGGGTGTTCAGCTGCTGCAGGATTTGGTCTGCAACAACTCGCCCTGGTGGTGATAAGCTTTCAGTACAGCGCTCTGTAGGTGGTTCGTATAGTAATCTACTTTCCTTAGGCTGCTGCATCTGCCGTTCGTTTGGCAAGGATGAGGGAGATCCTACTGGAATTCTCGCAGGTGTGTGCCCAACGTCGCATGTGGGACATGCTAAGAGAGGGTGTCGTGGATGATGGCATCGGGGATAGTCCAGAGACGCATACTTTCTATGACAGCTTCCTGGAAACATTGATGACACATGGCATGTAGTTCACTTGTTACCAGGAAAGCAGGCCGACATTCGCAGTTATTTAGGCATGGCATGGCAACACCACGACGACATACTGAGAAAGTAATTAGCCACGACGACGTACTGAGAAAGTAATTAGGGGGTGGGAGGGATGAGTTCAAGCCAAAGGGTTGCAGTTTTTGTGGCAGAGACTGGCAGTGATCATCCCTTTGTAGTGTTCGGAGCAGAGACTATGTCGTGTGCATGCTAGCCGTAATGTAGCTGCGTGAGGACAGAATGGGATCGCACAACCACCGTGCACAACAATGTGTGTGTGACCTGCATGGCCCGCAGGCCTGCTACTAACCTAAGGCCGTGTGCGTTTGCGGGATGTAGCGGGTAAAATAGGTTAGAGGCGTGAAGGCCAAAATCATGAAGAGTAGCCAATAATACAAAAAGGCAGTACCTTTGGAGAGGCCGGGTAACTTTAAATAAGGGAGGGAGCGAAGAGCGCTTCCTCATTTGTTGGCATGCAGCTTGGAGGCATGCTGCTGGAGCAAGCGCCTGTCTGAAGCAGCTGGATGGAGGAAGGAGTCGGAGCTTGGCCCCCACCTCGGCTATCATGGTGGATGTGACCAAGGCGGAGGTGACCAAGGCAGAGGTGGGAGAGGGCCTATATATGCCTCTCCCAGATATGGCGGAGGGCTAAGGAGGAGGAGGAAGAAGGAGGAAGAAGGAAGAGAGTGAAGAAGGAGCTTACCTTGGCTATGGTGGTCTGCATCTTCATCTTTTTGGTTGGCACTGCACCTGGAAGGCCCCAACTGGGGAGATACTAGGAAGAGAGACTTCGGGGATAGATTATGGCATGGTGGCCATATTTTTTTTTTTCACAAACACGCTCCAATCTATTCGTGGGGAGCAGCACGTGCTGGGAACCAGGCCAAGCGTCCCTTATAATGAGATTACATTGAGGATGAAGATTGATAATGATTTGAGGATGATTCAACGATTGGACGAGGATTAGGACATAGGTTAAGAAAATCTAATCAAATCAGCACTCTACTTCTATCTGACCCTAATTCCAGGTATCCGTATCAACCCAGTCTACTCCATACCTAGCTCTGCTGTTGTTTCATCCAGGCGTGTTCCCGGTCTCATACCCCCAATCAGAATAGGTTACAGGGCAGCGCGACCCGCCCCAGCTCCAACCATCGTCGACCTGGAAGAAGTCCCCGGTTGGTCACTGGATTACCTTCCGCCCTCGGCTATCCCCAGATCTTTCTTTAAGGCCTCAAGCTCCTGATTACAGGTTACAGGGCAATGCCCCAGCACCGGCCAGCGTTGTTCTGGCATCAACTAACCAAGACATCCAACCATGCACTGCTACATCTGAAGACAGCTAAGTGTATACTGACACCTGAAATTCTGAATGTGACTTCTGTAGAATCCTGGAACAACCC